AGCAGCTCATAGACGTCACTCAGTGTTTTTCATAAACGGCTCTCCTCCGCTGAGACGGTAGTAAAAATATAAAAAGTTTTTCATTCTTTCTCTGGAATTATCATCGATCGTGATTTTCAAACTTCCCATCCGTGTTTCCAATTTGTTTTGTTGAAATTTCAAATCTTTTGGTAATTTGAGGATGCTTCTCCTTGAGAGACATGCTTCAAAATGCGTAAGAAACTCGGTTCTCGTATAAGCTTGCCATTTGACCCTTTTGATATTTATAAAAGGCTCCAATCCTACTACAGAAGCTCACTATAAACTGCATCATGACCTCCCTTCTGGGCGATCCCTATTTTTAGTTATTAACTCATAGCTGCTTGTGTCCAAGTGGATTTTCACCTCTCCCCCCGGCTCACGCATTATCATGAGTCATGGGCCATGACTAAGAAATTTCGATACCGGATAAAGGCAGGCAGCTGAATTGGGCTTTCTGAGACAAAGTCGCTGGGATCACGGTCTCGACATAATCCGAAGTGTAGAAATACGAGACAGCCGCTGCTTCGTCAGGATGAGAAGTTATGACTGCCGTAGTTTGGACACGTCTTGCAAACGCTTACAGAATGGAGGCGAAACAGCTGTTACTCGCCCTGGCGACAACCTGGAGACCTTGAGGACGGCCAAGAATAATCTGGGGCAAGTACATGGAAAAACTCTTCTTCAGACTCAGGTTATCTTTTGCCGAAGCTTAAACGCTGGCACAGGATCAGGAACGTTTGAGACACTTCATCACGCGTCTGCCTTCACGATCTGAAAGGATGAGCGATGATCGAAACCGAATGTCCTCATAGCATAAGAAGAACTATTGTGGTCTGCAAGCCATATGCGACTTACTGTAAAAGCGGATCCCAAGTTTTGATGCTTGCGGGCCTAATACGTGCCTCATGATGAAGAAGGATACCAAAGGGCAGCTTAAAGACAGTTTCTTGGCGTCAGACAAATAAATGTTTACTGAAAGGTGGAAACAAGACAGCAGACTGGACACCACAACTTTACCGCTGCAAGAATAATGCTAACTGGTCGAAGGAGACAGGAGAATTGAAACTGTTAAGAGGGAGAACTCGAATTTCGACTAATGGCATCTATTCCAGCTTCATGGAAACAACTCTAGGCCCTAGGGCTACCGTTGAATATCTTGTATATACAGCAACTGCCAGTGCAGCGTTCAGACACTTGCTGATTTAAACTCAACTCGCTGCACAATTCTGCCTTACACATCACTGTCAGGTTTACGGTCACACAGCACTTGGCGCAAATAAAAAGGTAAGCTTAAGAGCATGCCTATCGTTATTAATGTTTTTTACGTGAAATTAATTTTCACTGAAAATGAGTCACGTGATTTGTATCTGTGGAATGTAGTGGTTTTTTCTATACTTCGCGAAGAAGTGACCTGAAAAGCAGCGAAGGTCGGCAGCACATTTTTAAGGGCATGCCAGTCGCTGAAACACGTTGTCACGGTTGACGGCGGTTAGCGACAACGAATTAAACGAGAACACAAGAGGACTTTGAGGACAACAAATTTTCGCTTCACTTGCTTTCTAATCTGATTGAACGATCTCAGCTCAAAGTCTTGCTTATAATTCCGCGAAAGTGAGGAACCGGTCAGGGGGCGAGTAAAAACGACCTATGC